TGAATGGGACCTCATGAAACTGAAAAGCTTCTGTAAGGCAAAGGACATCATCAATAGGACAAAATGGCAGCCTACAGAATGGGAAGAGTTTTTCACCAACTCCACATCTGACAGAGGGCTAATATCCAAAATATATAAAGAACTCAAGAAACTAGACACCAACAAACCAAATAATCCAATAAAAAATTGGATACAGATCTAAACAGAGAATTCTCAACAAAGGAAACCAAAATGGCTGAGAAACACTTAAAGAATGTTCAACATCCTTAGCCATCAGGGAAATGCAAATGAAAATGACTCTGAGATTTCATCTTATGCCTCTCAGAATGGCTAAGATTAAAAACACAAGTGACAGTTCATGCTGGAGAGGATGTAGAACAATGGGAACATGTGGGGTATACATGGACAAAGTTCAGAGGGCGGCACCCTTTAAGATGCCAAACAGGTAAACAGCCCACCTTATTTAAAAAAACAAAAAGGGGGATATGGTGATATTTTATTTGTATTAAAATGTTATTTATATGTTAATAAATAAAGTTGCCCGGGGTCAGAGCTATTAGCAAGCTATAGGAAAGCAGGGCAGTGGTGGCGTACGCTTGTAATCCCAGCACTTGGTAGGCAGAGCTGGGTAAGTCTCTGTGTGTTCAGGGATACAGCCAGTATTGGATACACATGCCTTTAATCTCAATACCAATCATGGAAAACCTGGAGGTCTATACAGACAGGCCGTGACGAGGCGGTCATGTGGTTGGGTTTACAACCAATGAGAAGGCAGAACAGGAACTCTATATAAAGACTTTAACACAGGGGTAGCTCTGGTTCGGAGAGGTAGGACCACCGCAGGAGGAAGGGTAAGGTTTTAGCTCTTAGCTCTGACCTCTGACCTCTTGGCTTTCTTCTTTGCATTGGTTCTGTGTTTCTTATCTAATAAGAAGGTTGGTTACATCTACAGGGGGAATCTGTGGGGCATACATGGGCTGCAGAGAGGGTGCCAAAAGAAATTTAGATAAACAGAGCTTAAGCTTTAAGCTGTTTATGCAGAGAGTGGATACAAATGGTATCAGAGGAAGTTAGTTTAAGCTGTTTGTGCAGAGAACAGATACAAAGGATGGCTGAGAGGAAGTTAGCTTGGGTTGTTTGTATGGAGATTAGAGAGGAATGGTGAGAAAGGAAGTTAGCTCAAGTTATTTATGCTAAGATAAGACACTAAGAAACAGGAGATGATGTCAGGGCATAAACAACTTGTAAATAGAGTGATCTTTAAAATGATTGGTTGGTTCCTTCACCCCCTCCTAGGGTTTTGAGGTTTTCTGGTATAAAAGAGGCTTACTGCCTATCAATAAACGAGTTCTTGCTTGACTTGACTCCCCGCTGCGTCTGATTGTCTCCGGGTAAGAGGGAGTCTGGGGAGGTGAGCGGCACACACTTGCCTTTCCTCGGTTCCAGGCCACCTCTTCACAGGTGACCTAAGTTCCCAGTGTGGCAGGTCCCCACAGGAACACTCCTCTATCGCTGGTGGGAGTGCAAGCTTGTACAGTCACTTTGGAAATCAATATGGCAGTTTCTCAGAAAATTGGGAATCTATCTACCTCAAGACCCAGCTATACCACTCCTGAGCATATACCCAAAGAACACTCAAACCTACCACAAGGACACTTGCTCAGTTATGTCCATAGCAGCATTATTCATGATAGCCAGGAACTTGAAACAATCTAGATGTCTCTCAACAGAAGAATAGATTAAAAAATGTGTACATTTACACAATAGAGTATTACTCAGCTGTTAAAAAATAACGACAACATGAAATGTGCAGACAAATGAATGGAACTAGAAAAAAAGTCATCCTGAGTGAGGTAACCTTGACCCAGAAAGACAAACATGGTATGTATTCACTTATAAGTGGATATTAACTGTAAAGTAAAAAGATAATCATGCTATGGTCCACCGACCCACAGAGGCTAAGTAACAAGGAAGGATTAAGGTGGGAATGCAAAGATCTCTCTGGAAAGGAGCAATAGAACAGCTTTTGAGGAGGGACTGGCAGCAGGTGGGTTTGAGAATGGGAGGGGTCAAGTGGGTAGGGAGGAGAAAATACTGGGATAAACAACCGGAATTGGGGGGCATTTCAGGGGCAAGGTAGAAACCCAGCGCAATGGAATCTAACAAAAATCTGGAGAGTTCCTCTAGAGAGTAACCCTAGCAAAGACTCCCAGTAATGGGGGAAACACAGCCTGAACCTTTCGTCTTCTGTAACCAGGCAACACCTCAAATGGATGGATTGGGACACCAACTCAGCTACAAAACCTTCGACTTACAGTTAGTCCCACCTGCAGAGTGTATTAGGACCAGAGCCTGGCAGAATCATCATCAAAGAGACCACAGAGACTTCATCTGGCAACTGATGGGAGGCAGGTGCAGAGTCCCACAGCCCAACATTAGACAGAGTTTGGGGAGTCCTGCAGAGGAGGGGGAGGAAGGATCAGAGGAACCCGGGGGGTCAGGGACACCACAAGAACATGGCCCACAGAATCAGCTGACTGGGACTCTTGGGGGCTCACAGAGATCAGGGAGCCTGTAGGGGTCTGACCTAGATACTCTCTATATATGTTATGGCTGAGTAGCTTGGTGTTTTTGTGGAACTTCTCATAGTGGAAACAGGGATTGCCTCTGAATCTTTGGCCTGTTTGTGGGAGCCCTTTCCTCCTACTGGGTCACCTCACCCAGCCATGATATGATGGTATGTGCCTGGCCTTATTGTAGCATATTATGTGATGTTTGGTTGATGTCCCTGGGAGGTCTGCTCTTTTCTGAGGGGAGACAGGGGTGGTGTAGGGGGTGGATCTGGGGTAGAGGGGAGGGAAACTGTAATCAGGATGTAATATATGTGAGAAAAACAAAAGCAAAAACAAAAAAACACCAAAAAATGACTATGGAGAAAGCAGTACAGAGGTCCTCCCTCCAATGAAAATGAGGACTGCCATTGGCTAAGCAGTTCCCCTTCCGGGTGTATAGCCGTAGAACATGAAAGCCACACACTGTGAGGCTGTCTGCATCGCCACACTTAGCACTGTTCTCAACAGCCAAGGCCTGAGATACAGAAAGTATGTTACATACACAGCGGAATAGTGCTTAACCCCAGACAGAAGGGAATCCTGTCACCTGTGACAAAGACATGACTGGAGCACGTTGTACTGATGAAATAAGCCAGGGACAGAAAGACAAATTCTGCACAGCCTTTCTTAGAACAGGAATCTAAGAAAGATTCAACGTAGTCATGCAGGGAGAAACGTGGCTGCCAGGGATTGGTGAGGAGGGAGAGGGGAGGAGGGAGAGGGGGAGAAGGAAGAGGGAGAGGAAAGAGGAGTGAGAAGAAGGGATGGAGGAGAGAGAGTGGCGTGAATGTCGTGGGAGTAACTAACCACTTCCTGAGGGAGGAAGAGAAAAGCCCCAGGAACACAGGGTGCATGTTACGTTTTCTACTGTACAGTGGTGTGTGTGTGTGTGTGTGTGTGTGTGTGTGTGTGTGTGTGTGTGTGTGTGTGTGTGCGCGCGCGCAGCAGTGCAGGTTTTAGGTGATTCTCCAGGGGCAGTTCCCTAGTTCCCTGGATGTCTCCCCTGAGTGGGTGGGGACCCAGCCCCTGGGAAGGGCAAATGGTAAATGCCTACAGATGATATCTGGGCTCAAGTTAGCTTTGAGAGGTGGCATGGTGGCACACAGCATGGTAAGAGGCATGGTCAGAGCAGGGCTGTACTGGTCGGCTGGCAGAAACCGGAAGCACAGGCCAGGGAGTGAGGAGGAGGAGGAGCAGAATAGGGCAGTAGGGTCAGGTGACTGTCTCTGGACTCAACTGTCTTTGTCTTAGCACCAACTTTCCTCCCTCCCAGATGCTCAGGACAAAGGCCAAGTTGCAAACATGCCCTGTGGGAAGCCCCACTCCCAGGAATTCCCAGCACAACGCCTCAGCTCCCTGGGCCTCAAATTCTTACTTACCCTCTACCATTGTTCAGACCACAGCAGAGCACCAGTCACAGCCTGGTACTCCGCCAGGGGAGGAGACACCATCAGGTGTATTTCCCTTTGACTTTACATGGGGCCATGTTCCCACCACTCAGGGGAGATGAAGGATGACCTCACTGGGTCTTGCCTTTGGCATCATCACCCACAGCCAAAGGATGTAGAGGCAATGACAGGGTGGACAGAGCATGGACTGGAGCATCCTGGGAAGAAGCTGCTTGGCCACTCTGCCAAGTCTGTGACCCTGTAGGAATGTTCTTTCTGAACAAAGGAGCTGGCCGTGGTAGGGTTACTCACTTCTTCAGACTGATGAAGACTCACTGAGTTATCTCTGCCAAGCATTTAGAAAGGTGCAGGGGCAGTGGTGGTGCACACCTTTAATCCCAGCACTCAGGGAGGCAGAGGCAGGCAGAGCTCTGTGACTTTGAGGCCAGCCTGGTCTACAGAGTGAGTTCCAGGACCACCAGGGCTACACAGAAAAGTCCTGTCTCAAAAAAAAAAAAAAAAAAAAAAGAAAGAAAGAAAGAAAGAAAAGATAGGTGCATGAATCTCAAACACATTGGACACCCAGTAAAGGGTGAGTCCGAGCAGGCTGTGGAGAGCAGTCTCCTGTCACTGGACTTGAGAAGGACACCAGTTGATGCCATCCCATCCCAAACATACTCTTGCCTATTCCCACCTACTCTCTGTCAAGCTGGAGCTGGAACACCTTGAGTTAGTCCAGGGCAGAAGGTTCCATGAGTCTGGGCTAGTCTGGACTCCCTCAACTGGGAAATGGGTGCCATGAGGCTTGGGAATGTGGGTGGGGAATTGCCATGTTCAGTCTGGCCTGTTTTTTCTTCCCATCTAGCTTCTCAAAAGGCCACACCCACAGCCCAGAAATGAACACAGGGACACTCAATTTTGTGGGTAGTATCTTTATTCAACATAGGTTGGGGGTGGGTAGGTGGGTGTCTGGAGTGGGCTTAAGACACCCAGGGTCATTTCAGTAGCAGCCCGTACAGGCAACATTTATACACAGCTCACATTCGTCAGTGGCGATGGTGCCTGTGTAGGGAGAAGGCAGGTTAGTTAAAATTGGACCTTGGGGGTCAGTGGTCACAGAAACTGTCAGGCCAGGAGCTGCTGAGGAAAGGGCCTGATGTCTTCCTTACAGAGCCAGCACCTAGATTCCTCTCTCAAGTGCCGTCCTTCCTAGCAGTGGCTGGGCAAGGTACCTCCTCTCCTGGTCTGAGGTTTCTCATCTGCTACATGGGCTGAGGAATCTGACCTGAATGCTATAGGAAGGGTCCCAGGCAAAAGGATCAGGGCCTACCCAGAGCAGGGACACAAATGCTGTGGGTTGCAACAGTGTGTGCCCAGCTCCTCTGTACCCTTCTGATTCAGCTCAGCTGTCACCTCCCCAGGGAGCCATTCCAAGCCTGATCTCGCCAGATGGATCAGATGGATGCCTCTCACGGAATCATGTCTGCGTCTTCCCAGAGTCCCTTCCCACATTTGTGAGGTTCTTGAAGAACTTCTCAGGGCTGTGGGAGTCTTTTCTACCTGACTCAATAGGCCCTAACTGGGGCAGTTCTGGGGAGGATGGGGCCGTGGCCCTCCAAACTCCCTGTCCATAGCCACTGGGATGTTTAACGAAGACAACTGATGATGGAGAGGTGGGGTAGGATACACATAGAGGGGCAGGAAGATCAGGGGGTGATGTGCTTACTCAAGGCCTCGAAGATGCTGGCAGCTTTCTGGGAGGCACAGACAGGCTGGAGGTCCTTGGGTAAGGCAAGGTGATGGCACACAGCGGGTAGAGCGGGACTGGTCTCTGGTAGGGAGTTGGATGTCAGCTGCTTCTCCAACTCATTCAGCTTCTTCACAGATTCCAGCTCTACTTGGAAGCCATCGTACTGGGGAGAAGAGAGGGGTGGGAAGTCATCAGGCGCTGGCTAGGAGCAGGCAGTGCCGTGAGACTGGCACCAGGCAGACCAACTGACAGGTCCCTTCTCAGCACTGGCCTGGTGACTCTCTGGTGAGACTGATTCTCTCGATCCCTCCTGGACCCTTTTATTCTTCTCCTGGGAACCCGGCCAGATATAGATGCCAAGGTACAGTTCCACAGGTTTAGCAAGACCAGCAGCATCCTGCCACCTTGTGGCCAGGCCTGATTCCATGCCCCACCCATCTTATAGTCCCTGGAAGGACACTGAAGTCCACGTTCCCCCTTTTCTGGCCTTTGCTCTGCCTAGAACTTGTTCACCGGGACCTGGTACTATTCACACTTCAGTGAGCACAAAGGTCCCTGCCGCGGAAACCCTTCTGTGACTTGCCCATGTGGGTAAGCACAGGGGAGGGAGCACAAGAGGGGTCTCTTTCCCTCTGTGCCCCTCTGGAGCTGACCCTCATCTCCTTCCATATGGTGAGTAGGCTGACTTCAAAGGAGAGCAGAGCTGAAAAGAACAGGTTTCTCTCATCACATCTATCGCTGTTGGTGTTGACACTCCTGCGGCCTCCACCCAGCAGGTGTCTCAGGCTAGACCGGCCGCAGGGCTGAGCCCAGGTCCTTCACACAAAAGGTAGGCTGGCTGGGGTCTCACCTTGATGAGGACGGACTGTGCACTCTGCAGCAGCAGCAGCAGCAGCAGCAGGACCATAGCAGCCCACAGCTGGCTTCCGGACACGGCCTTGCCTCCCATCTCACGTCTCTGGGTTCCTGCTTCCTCCACTGTCTACCTGGCTGCCACCTGCCTCCTGGCCAGCAGCCCCTTATAGGCCAGGGTCCAGAGCTCTGGTCACTTATTAACTGTCTGACTGGGGTGGGGTTGACAGAGGACTGGCTCTTTGACAAATTCCAAGTTGGTTCCCAGGAAGGGGGTGGGGGTGGCGATGATGGGGAATCCAGAGCGTGTGGGAACATGGTCTGCCAAGGGCTTGTCTGAATAGGATTCTGTGGGAAGACCTTGGGCCACTTCACTTTCCATTCCCTCCTCCACACGCGGGAGGAGGGGAAGGCGAAGAGGCCGGAAGGCACCACCAGGTGAAGTGATCTGCCCGAGGTCAAAGGTCAAAGTGACTCCATCCACAAGAGCCCAAGTCAGCTCTCAGTTCTTTGAGAGAAGATGCAGGCGGATGGCTCAGAGCAAGGCGGACACACAAGGATGACATCGGGATTTTCCAGTCCTAACTTCACCCAAGCCTAACAGCCTGCTCCAAACCCAGAACCACGTATGGAAAGATCAGCTTATAACCAGTCCTTGCCCAGCCCTCGGCCTGCCATTTCCCATTTTTACCCGAGTACCCTGGGTTGTGTGTGGCCCATATTAACTGTACATCTTAGTAGGCAGCAGATCAACACAGTGTGAAAGAAAGAGCTCAGATATCATAGAAAGTGACAGGGGCTGGGTGCCAGCTCTGGAGCAGCTGCTCCATGTGCCTGGGGAGTCACATCATGTTTAACTGATGTTTTCTTTACTCTCCAATCACACACGCCTACCAGAAACCACCCACAAAGGTGACTGTGGGCATGATGGACTCCGGCCCCTTGGGCTTGTCTTTATTCCTGGGTGACTCATCTATAACAGCCCACCTCCCCATTGGGTGAAGGTAGGTCAGAGGGAAAAGGACCAAGGTTCTGAGGGTGCTATCACTGTGGCCAGGCCCAGCAACTCTAAACAGTGGTCCCACCGGGGCAGGGCTGGGCCAGGTACAGACTGATATGTGGCAGGTACCCCAGCATGAGCCTGAGCTGAAACCACCACAGCCTACCTGGGCACCTACAGTCCCTCAGATTTGGTGGCGAAATGAACGTTATCATGTGATCCTCAGACCAGTCCTGCTCATGCATGTGTGATACACTTCATCTTCCCACAGCCCCTCAACTTCCCTCTTATCTTGCACTGAAATAGATAAAAGGCTCAAGCGAACTTTGGAGTTTCTTATGTCTTGCTTTGAATCCAGACTTCGGCCTTTATTCTTGTCAGTCTCACATTCTCTTCGATGCTACCAACTGTCGGATAACAGTAGCTCATATGCTTGATTCTGAGCAACTCAAGGCATGCCATGATACTCTGCTCATGCTCCATTGAGGAGTAGGAGGGCCGGGCCGGTATTCTGTCCAGAGCCTCTACCTGTGCTCAGCCTGTGTTGCTATAGAAAAAGAAGCATTTGCCTTGGAGGTAGGGAGGATACCTGGGCTTGAACCCAGATCCCAGCAGTTACCCACCATGTGACTTTACTTACTCTTGATGAGTCTCAGCTTTCTCACCACTGAAGTCAAGAACACAATGACTAACCCAACCATGCTTTTGAGAACTAACAACTCTTGTCCTGGAGAGCCAGTGACGGTCCCTGTCCCCAGATAGATAATTCCAGCACATACCTAGGGACATCTGCAACAGAAGATGGTTTCCTCACTTGTTCTTGTCCATGGAATCCTCCTAGACAAGCCCTGTCTCTGAACCCAAGGTGGTGACAGGTTTGACCCGCAGCTTTTGCAGGCTGGACCCAATGCCACCCTATCCAGAACACTGGCTTTGCTCAGCCATGTCACATCAGATAAGTGATACAACCTGAGACTTCACCTTCTAATTTGTAGAAAAATGACAGGTCCCAGTGTTGGAAATTGTCATGGGCCTACTTGATTGTCACTCTCCCACACTTTCTATGGGACAAGCTCAGCCCGCTGGCCCCTATATGAAGGGATAGGAGTCAGCCTTCAGTGTTTGAAGGCCCGTGGTGGAGGTCACCTTCCTTTCTCCACTTACTGGATCTTCCAGCTAGGGCTCAGCACAAGGTCGTCATTCCCTGGGGACGAATCATGACTTCCTCTTCCATCTGACAAGACTCAAAATTTCCAACCCCATCTCCTCCTAATTGCTTCACGAATGACCCACCATCCATCAAGGCCAGCTTGGCCACAGAGGCAAACCCTCAGTGCCTCTCTGACCAGTTAGTTCATTTACGTCACCTGGCATCATCGGGGCACTTCCTTCTTTATGGCCCTGGGAAGCCACTGCCATAGCAGCCTGTGGAAGTTCACACAGATGAGGATGGAGGACAGTTTGCCTCTGTAGGTTTAGATGATCCTCTCCCCACATTGAGTCCCTGCTTGGCATCCACTTTTATGGCGCCCCAGTTTTCCCAGGAGTACCTCTCAGAGTTTGTTGTCCACTTGGCTGTGGGCATATGGGCTTTCCAGGTTTCTGACTCCTCCAGACCCCATCTCTTCAATTTCCTTGGTTCGTAAAGTTAAAACTCCCCAGGGGCATCAGGACTCATCCTTAGGCCTCTGTCCTCTTCTTACAGTCACCTACTTTGGTAGTGTCATCCAGCTTCAAGAATTCCATGTCCCCAGGCTCTAGGACTGCCTGGCCTAGCCTCCCCCTCATCCCTCTACCTACCTCCTCAGCCTCTCTGGTCACCGTTGATGATATTACCGTGTGCCCATGGGGTCAGGTCAAAACCTAAGGAGTCATTCCTGACACCTCTTTTTCATTTGCCAAATTCAATGCATTCACAGGTTCAGTTGTATCGACCTTCAGAATATTCTTAGCTTCCAACCAATCAGGCTTCATTCCCCAAGAATGAAAGGTTCAAGCTATCATCCTTGGTTTCATGAATTATTGTAATAGCAGTGTTAGGCAGAGGTCTCCAGAGAAACAGTATCCACAGGATCTGTTCACCTATCTGTTTGTCAATCAACCATCAATCTATTTGTTATCTGTTTTCTATCCAGATTTACTTTGAGGAACTGGCTCATATGACTATCAAGACTGTCAGGTCTGAAACCCAAAGGGCAGGTTGACAGGCTGATAATTCAGCTAAGAGTTGTCACAGACTGTAGTGAATTCTTATCATTTTCTGTTGCCTTTGTGTCTATTTTAAATACAGGCTGGATGTTTTCCCATTGGGGTGTGACAGTTTCTAATTTTACTCACTTCTGCCCAGTTCCTCATTGTGATCGATCCACATGTCTACCTTAGATAACTGTTCCTGTTGACCCCTTCCCTATGGAGTAGTTAAATATAGCCTGGCTGGCTCTGTTGACCTTCACACCCTGTGTGGACAGAATAGACATCACCAGAACCACATTTCAGTCAATGTCACCTTCTGCAACTGGAGCCTGTGCCTGCTTTTGTGTTTTATGGCTTTTGTTTTATTTTGGACTGCGGTTCACTATGTAGACCAGGCTGGCCCAGAACTCACAGAGTTCCTTGTGCCTTTCTCTCCTGAGAGCTAAGACTATAGGTGCAGCACTTGCTTGAAACACACCACTTAAAGAGAGATTCTGTCTCATCTCTGTCTGTCTGTCTGTCTGTCTGTCTCTCCTAGCCCTCTCTCCAGCTGTATGTGTGTGGCTTCTGGGAGAAGATCCTAGACCTATTTCCATCTTGTAGCCATCCCTCCTAGCCACGGACAGAACTCCATGAAGCGCACACAAGGGAGCAGTTTGGAATCTGATGTCTCAGGGCAGGGCAACCTTCAGAAATGGAGGTGGATGCCCTGGGTTCAGTCTCCAGGCTCAACTTCTCCTCTGAAAGTCTTAACCTTTGCTCTTAAGACTTTCAGCTGATTGAAGCCCTACCTCCATAGAATGGAGGGCAATCCGCTGTACTCAAGGCTTATTGAATATTAATATTAACCATATCTAAAAATGATGTTTTCAGAGCAGCATCTAGATTGGTGTTAACTAGACAATGAGCTGTCACGAGCATCCAAGCTGACTCATTGAGCCCACACTTACCCCTCTGCTGGTCTTTCTCCACACATCAGTCAGTGTGATCCTGTGAAGATCCAATCTCTATATTCCCACCCAGTAAAACCTAAAGGCTTCCTTCCATCTATGGGTTCCCTTGAGCACACCCTCTTCAGCTTTGACTTTGGTTCCAAAATTTTGCTCCTTCCTCTTTGGGCTTCATCAACCCCTCTAGCTTCCATGCCCCTCAAACATGTCAAGATCTATGTTTTATTAAATTTTAGGTTAATATGCAGAGCAATGGGTTTCATCATGACATCTTCATATGTAAGTGTCATTGTTCTGTGTCCTCATCATGGCCAGTTCCATTTCCTGGCTGCTGTGAACAGGGCAGCTACAAAAGTGGTTGTGCAGGTATCTCTGTGCTGTGTGGACACAGAGTCCTTTAGGTATATGCTCAAGAGTGGTACAGCTGGGTCGCAGGGTAGATCCAGTTTCTGTGTTTTGAAAGGCCTGCATACTGATTTCCATAGCGGGTGCCGCAGTTCACACTCCCATGAGCAATGGACGAGACTTCCTCTTTCCCCACAGCCTTGCCAGCATTTGCTGTTGTCTCTTTTTCGTGATCATAGTCATTCTGACTAGGGGGAGAGAGACTCTCCAAACTGTTCACATTTGCATTTCCTTGATGGCTAATGATGCTGAACACATCTTCAAGTATTTATTGGCCATTTGTATTTCTTTTTGAGAAACGTCTGTTTAGCTTATTAGATCATGTATTGATTTGGAGGATGTTTTATTTTGGGGAGCGAGCTTGGAACTCACTATGTAGACCAGGTCTCAAACTCATAAAGATCCACTTGCCTCTTCTCCATATGCCACCACACCTGACAGTGTTTAATTTTTACAATTACGTGTTTACCCTGGATGCTAAACACCCCATGTTACAGGCAGATGGCTTTTCTACTGTCTGTCACTGTCCCCACTCTGCCTGTTGTCTGT